GAGACTGGAACTCAGATCTGATGCATCTAAGGTCACATACTTAACCTCATACCTAATGAATGAGCCTGGCCCAGAATAATCTTCCATACTAATCTGAAAGCCTTCAATGCCAGAATGAGGGAAGGCTGTAGATCCCACATGCAAATCAAGTGCAAAAACTCAGGTCTTTGAAGGTGCTTCCAGAAACCACTCAGGGGCTCTCTACTCCCGAATGCCTTAAACTACACACATATTTCTCTGTCCCTGTCACAGAAACCTCAATTTGACTGTTTTTGAGAGCTGTTAAAATGCACTGATTGAAACCATTATGGATAAAAACCAATTAAACAAGGGAAGTTACTCTGGGATACAAAAAGGAGCTGGCTCCCACCCATAACACACTACAAAGCTGTTAGGCTGATAAGTGTGGGTGTTCTGTGGTGACAAGAACAACCTTTGAAGACTCCCACTTCCTTAGCCTCTGCTGCCATTTCTAGAGACCAGTATGTCGAAAGAGTACAGCACAGGGGTTCAGAGTGACAGTGCAGGTTTTGGAGTCAAAGACCTGAGTTCAAATTCTGTTCCTGCCACTCATCAGCTGTGTGACCACAGGCGAGTTACATAGCCTCTTTTATATAATAATACCTCTCCTTTATTGTGAAAGCTAAATGAGATTATACACAGGCGGTGCCTTGCCTAGTGTGTGGTATGTTTATGTGCCTAATAATATTTTTATTATTAAAATATACAGTTCTGATCCTGTCTGCCTCCCAAATCCTTCTCTCTCCCCTATCACAAGCTCACACTCCTGGATGCCCACTACTCTGTTTCCCAAGAGGAACATTAACTCACTTAGCTTGATATCTATATATATTATCATTTCTAAAGAAAAATATTTTCTTCTTTATAATACCAAATGTATGCATATCTTCCCTTCAAGGTATTTTACTCCTATCCCCTCCCACGGTCTCACCCCAGTTTGAAAAGATACTACTCCCAACTCCAATGTGGGCTTTTACATTTTAGGATCAGGAGTTCTGCACTCCCAAAGGTCTGGTTCAGAGCAGCTGCAGAGATGAGACTGTGTTTGTGTAGGCCTGCTTTGCTGAAAGGAAGTGAGAGAGTCTGAACCATGGTTCTCACTTCGAAAAATTCCATCCAAAATGTACTTAAAAAAAAAAAATCAACAAAACAAACAAAAAATTCCATCCAGACTGAAGGCACCAACTACAGAGGCTTGTCATCTTTTGGAGGAGAAAGACAGGTTCCAGGAGATGCCAGGTTTCACTAATACTGCTAGGAACATCATTTGACCTTCCCTTTCTCTCAATACAATGTCTGAGAGGAGAAGTAAGAAATTTACGTAAGTAAATTTCATTGTAAGACCCTAAAAAATCCATTTCGAAAAGATTTTTTAAAATTTTAACCTCATTAGGAAAGAAACAAAATCACGGTAGACATACAGAATCAAAACAAGTATACCAAATGTATTAAATGCAAAATTTGAGCAGATTTTACTGCATAAGTATACCCATGCATCTATTCAGACACTATAGAAGTTTTAAATTTAGTCAATAGTTTGAAAGATAGCAGAGCTTTCTAAGTAACCCGTCTCTTGCTGCATGAGAAGTGTGTACGGCTTCCTTCATTCAGATGACCCATGATGGAGTACTCAGTTCCCCCATGTGCAAAGGCACATCTGACAATTAGGAGACCAGATGTGACCAGGGACTGCTGTAAAATGCTGAAAACAGCTTATAGCCTATAGCTTCATTCTACTGCTTAAGCCAAATAAAATTTAAAATCTCCCCCAAACTAGCCAAAATCAGCAAAACTGTTTGTTCACAGAACTTTCCTCTAGTTTTTTTTAACTCTTCCTCTTTCTAAAACTAAGGTCCAAATACTATTCACTATATCAGAATCCAGAAACTTACCACGTGGCCTGATTTTAAGTATCTTTTATGAACATTTATCATTTATCAGCAGCATAAATCTGGTTTAAAAAATATAATAATGAAAAATAACATCTTACTAAGTGCCTCTGTTTTTAAAAATGAAATTATAAAACTCTATTAATGCAATTTAACACAACTAGGTGTAAAATATTTAAGGAAGAATGTTAAATAAAAGCAGGAAAACATAATATTGGTGGGTAAATGAAAAAGGCAACAAAATGTAAAATAAAACACCACTCCCACTACTGGGCATATACCCTGAGAAAACCATAATTCAAAAAGAGTCTTGGGGCTTCCCTGGTGGCGCAATGGTTGGGAGTCCGCCTGCCGATGCGGGGGATGTGGGTTCGTGCCCCGGGTCCGGGAGGATCCCACATGCTGTGGAGCGGCTGGGCCCGTGAGCCATGGCCGCTGAGCCTGCGCTCCACAACGGGAGGGGCCACAGTGGTGAGAGGCCCACGTACAGCAAAAAAAACCCCCAAAAAACCCAAAAAGAGTCATGTACCACATGTTCACTGCAGCTCTATTTACAATAGCCAGGACATGGAAGCAACCTAAGTGTCCATCGACAGATGAATGGATAAAGAAGATGTGGTACATAAATACAATGGAATATTATTCAGCCATAAAAAGAAACGAAATTGTGTTATTTGTAGTGAGTCTGTCATACAGAGTGAAGTTAAGTCAGAAAGAGAAAAACAAATACCGTATGCTAACACATATATATGGAATCTTAAAAAAAAAAATGGTTCTGATGAACCTAGGGGCAGGCCAGGAATAGAGATGCAGACATAGAGAATGGACTTGAGGACACGGGGAGGGGGAAGGGTAAGCTGGGATGAAGTAAGAGAGTAGCACTGACATATATACACTACCAAATGTAAAATCGATAGCTAGTGGGAAGCAGCTGCATAACACAGGGAGATCAGTTTGGTGCTTTGTGACCATCTAGAGGGGTGGGATAGGGAGGGTGGGAGGGAGGGAGATGCAAGAGGGAGGAGATATGGGGATATATGTATATATACAGCTGATTCACTTTGTTATAAAGCAGAAACTAACACACCATTGTAAAGTAATTATACTCCAATAAAGATGTTAAAAAACAAAAGCAAAACAAACAAAAAAACACCACTAAGCAGAGGGGATGCCAGATTCTAATTTGGTTCTGATTCTGACTCAGGTATGACCCAAGCCAGATACTTAAAATTTCTGTCTTGGTGTCAGCAGAAAAGTATACCTTGATTAACTTTTTTCATAGACACTAAGAGCTTCTCCTTTTACTACTACTAGACAGTTTTATTTTCTTAAAAAAAAAATCATCATCCTGAGTAAATATTATTGATACTACTAATCCACAAGTTGAGCCCTTTTGGACTAACAAAGGCCACATCATAACACTACTGGGCATTCTCAATCCTAGGTTCCTATAAACAAACCTGAAAGACATCAATCTGACAACACAAGTCTTAGGGGGTAATTATTTTGTTTCTAAAAGACTTGGAGTTTGTTTTTTAAATGATATCCCCACATATTTCTAATGTTTTCATTTAGAGAAAATCTTTTTTAAAAATGCACTCAATGAGGCTTTCAGTTACTACTGGATAATCAGCACATGACCGCATTTAAGTTTGGGTTTTACATGCGATTACAGATGAGCAACACTAAAAAACACTAAAAACCCTGCTCAGTCAAGGTTTCTCTTTATACAAGCTGACATTATTTATTATTTTTTATTTATCAAGTGTTAGTGCTATCACTCTGCCCTTGGGTAGAGTTTATGCCAGTTCTGCTATTTCCCCCATAGGCTTCAGATGACATGATCACAGGGGATCTCAAAGTGAGGGGAAAAAAAGCTTCATATTTAAGATTTGGCCTTCCATTTACTGCATCTTTTCTGCCTAAAAAGAAAGTTTTAAACTTCCTGTTTTTAAACAGGAAGTACTATACTGAACAACAGATATTTCAGCACTCAAGTTTAGACTTTTTTGGTCTGCAATGTTTTATAATTGGTGTTCTAGAAAATACAATTCTTTATTCTCTATGCAATGAATATTTTCAATGAAATAAGAAAGGACAAAAGGACTAGAAAATCTGCATTCCCTTTTGTAATATCAACTAAGTTTTTTCAAGATTATTTATTTATTTTTAAAAATTTTTTTTTGCGGTACGCGGGCCTCTCACTGTTGTGGCCTCTCCCATTGTGGAGCATAGGATCTGGACGCGCAGGCTCAGCGGCCATGGCTCACGGGCCCAGCCGCCCCACAGCATGTGGGATCTTCCCGAACCAGGGCACGAACCCGTGTCCCCTGCATCGGCAGGTGGACTCTCAACCACTGCACCACCAGGGAAGCCCTTATTTATTCTTTATATTTAGTTTTTGACTACCTTGATTTCAAATGATATAAAATTATTCTAAAGTTTTATTTTAGTTGAAGAATCAAAATTAATCCAGAAGATCAACTAGGCTCTCTGAACTAGTCACAGATACTCCCACTCACTAAAATGGAGCTCCATCAGAACAGGGACCTTATCTACCTTGTTCACAGCTGTACCCCCAGAGTCTAGCACAGATAAAGCATGGTCCCCACTCTGTCCTTTCTTCTCCAAGCCTCCCACTTTACATTCCAAAGTGTTCATGGCTCCTCAAGAACAGCATGCCTTTACAAATGTCCCCTAACCTGTAATATAAGCCTGCCGTCTTTGTCTACTTGGTAAACATTTATTTATCAAAACCCAGCTCAGAGATCTTCTTCTTCTCTGGGAAGCCTTCCCTGGCACCTCATCCTCAAAGGGTAATCACGCCTTTCTGTGTGCCATTTCTATTCCTTGTACATCTCTGTCCTGCTGCCCTCATCACATAATATTACAATTGTCTGCTTCCAAGTCTGTTTTCTTATTGGCCTGTGACTTCCTTTAGGTGAGCCAAGAACATAGCAAAGATTTAATAAAAGCTGAAAAAGGGTATTTGTCAATGATCCACACAGTTAAAGAAATAACTGCAGTAAAAATTACTATTAAATGAATTAATATTCTTAAAGTATATGGCACTGAACTCAGTTACTTTACCTGTAAGATCCTTTTCTCGAAACTGTATAATTGGTAGAACCATTGTGTCTGCCAACTGTTTAGCCAGCTCTGTATGGAGAACATTAAGCTGAAAGAAAGAGAAATCTACTGAAGAAAATTATACCCACTATTACTGACACTGTCTTATTTCACTGAGGGATCACACTGAACACATCCATGTGGTTAAAGAGCTCAGTTACACTTCCTTAGCAAATAAATACCCTGCATAAAGCAGTAAATGACATAAGCTAAGAGGTATTAAAAACTAAATGCAAGTTTCTAGCTGACCGGGGCATCAGTTACGTTTGCTAAGAGTCTCCGAGCCCACAGTTATTGTTTGTGGACTGTGCAAGATGTGGCTCTGTGTTCTTGATGTGAGCCACACCCACCTAGACAGGGAGAGAGCTCTGGCGTGCTGGCAGCACAGGTCAGCACTTTGCCGGGCCCCTGTGTGCTCTCACTCTCAGAGGGGGCTGAAGTCACCCCTGAAAGACAGGCCTGCTGGGAACCTACTAACCTGCAACTACAGACACTGGGGCCCGGGAACTGCCGTGGAGAAAGAATGTTCCCCGCAGAAATAACTCAGCCAGGTTTCAGACCTTTCTAAGCACAAGAAAGCTGTATTCAAATGTGCTCCTCCTCACTAGATAATTTTAACAGCCCTTGATTCTTTCTCCCCTTCTACCTAAAGGCCTTAACTAAATCCTGTCTTTGTAAATCGTCTAGGAGAAATAAAAATGATCACGATCAGCACTACCACTTTTGAGCTCTTTCTGTGTGCCACTTTACGTGCTTTATACCACTTAGTTCCCACCTACTCTGTTAGATGGGTGTTATTTATTATCCTCATTTTTACAGGAGGGCAAATAAACCTCCAAATCCAGAGAGCAACTAAGTGACACACCTGGGATTTTAATCCTGGGCTACTGGGATCCAAAATCTATGCTCTTTCCAACACACCGTGTGGGATACAGAGTTTGTCTTTCATGCTCACACAGCTGCCACAACTTTAAACACGTGGTAGTCAGTAATGAACACAGTGGAAGGCCCAGACTTCCGGATATTGTGAGGGTGCTCTGGGATTCCTGCTGGGTATATAAGGGGAGGTCACCCAGCAGTCATCTTGTGGAGTAAACATGTGGCAAAGTTTTCTTTCAGCAGCGAGAGCAGTCACGTGTCCGAATTCCCCTTCTGCACACGGATCTCCCCGCAACAGATCTGGTCCTTCAGGGTTGTGCTTGCAGAGGCTGCTCTGACAAGCTTAAAGACTGGCTTCAGGTCAACCACCTGTCGGGCCAGGGAGTGACAGGCCAAGAAGTCAATGTTCTCCCTATCTTTCAATCAAGCCAAAGAATGGCAGCTTTTTCTGAGGGGAACACATGAAGACAGCCATGCCAAAACATGCATTAGGATATAATGTGTTAACTACTTTTCCTGAATAGCTTCAATAAGAAATGTACTGTTTTTTGTTTTTGTTTTTTTACTAACAGTTAATTAGATGAATTGGCTCTGTGCCGAATGCTCTGATATAATTATTTAATTTAACCTTTATAACAGCCTAATTAAGTGGGCTGTCCTGCTACTGCCATTTACAGATGAAAAAAAACAAAACTCAGAGAGGTTAAATGGTTTTCTTTCCAGTGGTTATGCACTTCAAGAATGGCAAACAAGAATGGCACTAGCTACTCTACTACTGCTTCTTAAGGATCAAGTGGTCTGTGTCACCCACTTTTTGCCTTGGGGCTTTGAGAGGTTAGGGACAGTCACTTCCAAACACAGCACCTTTGCTGAGGAGAGTGCGAAGAGCACAGACCACCTCTTGGCACTTCAGGATCGTCACACGGAAAATGGGCATAACAGCATCTTCCTTGCATGGCTCTTTTGACGATAAAACAAAACATGAATAGGAAACACTCAGAGCAGAGGGCCTGACACATAGTGGGCAATTAAATCCATAATGCCAAAGATTTCCTGTCTCAGATGCACTAAAAGGAAGTAATCTAGAAACCTTGCTTTTGGTACAATCACCAAGGATAAAAAATCTCTGTATGCCTAGGACATCGAATACCGGAATCCAATGCATTCTATTAAATATAAGCAACACAAATCTCTACTTTTAGTTGGATTTTTCAACTTCTGAGTCAAGTTACTTCTCTTGAAAAATTTTCAACCTGATGCAGGCCCACCTTTTGCGAAAACCACCTCAAAAGCTACTCCACTCTTCCCACCTGAGTTAACTGCTTTCACTGGCTTAGGTCTTGACATCAAGAGGCTTGTTTAAAAACTCACAGTGTTAAGCTTCCAGGAGGCCATGACACTGCCTTTAAATCACAATTCTAGGCTTCCATCCTTCTGGAATGATTCACTCCCCACTAAAGGAACTGTCATTAGCTAATAGGCAAATGAAAAGATGCTCGACATCGCTAATTGTTAGAGAAACGCAAATCACAACTACAATGAGGTATCACCTCACACCGGTCAGAATGGCCATCATTAAAAAGTCTACAAACACTAAATGCTGGAGAGGGTGTGGAGAAAAGGGAACCCTCCTACGCTATTGGTGGGAACGTAAATTGGTGCAGCCACTGAAGAAATCAGTATGGAGGTTCCTTAAAAAACTTAAAAACAGAGTTACCATATGACCTAGCAATCCCAATCCTGGGCATATATCCACAGAAAACTCTAATTCGAAAAGATACACGCACCCCAATGTTCACAGCAGCACTATTTACATGGCCAAGACACGGAGGCAACCTAAGTGTCCACTGACAGATGAATGGATAAAGATGTGGTGTGTATACACACACACACACACACACACACACACACACACACACACAAAATGGACTACTACTCAGCCATAAAAAAGAATGAAATAATGACATCTGCAGCAACATGGATGGACCTGGAGATTATCATATTAAGTGAAGTTAAGTCAGAGAGAGAAAGACAAATATCATATGATATTACTTACACATGGAATCTAAAACATGATACAAATGAACTTATTAACAAAACAGAAACAGACTCACAGACATAGAAAGCAAACTTATAGTTTCCAAAGGGGAAGAGGGGAGGAATAAATTAGGAGTTTGGGATTAGCAGACACAGCCTACTATATATAAAGTAGATAAACAACATGGTCCTACTGTATAGCACGGGGAACTATATTCAATATCGTGTACTAAACTATAACAGAAAAGAATATGAAAAAAAGATACATATATCTGAATCACTTTGCTGTACACCAGAAACTAACATTGTAAATCAACTATATTTCAATAAAAAATTAATTCAAAAAAAAGAATCATCATTCCCACCCATGAAAATACAGCTCTGAGTAAATATCTTAAAGTAGAAATCCTGGTTTAGGGTTTTGACAACTAATCACATCTCCTGAGCAAATCTCCTCTAGTCAAGAAAACACATAACTTCAGTGGGTGTAGACTACTGCTTCTCCCCCTGGGTTATTCATTCACTGTTAATTAAGAAAAATTCTTCTCCCCACCTTCAAAAAAATTTACTTTCTGCTCCTCTCTAATTCCATTCTCCATTCATCCTCCTCCTCTTCTGGAATAGATATGCATCCATATTATCACACACTTCAAAGAGCCACAGCAGTGGGACAGAGGACAAAGTTCACAAGGAAGTGGACAGTTTGTATCTATATCCCCGGTGCCTAGAATTGCATCTGCTAAATAGTAGGTGGTCAGTAAATGTTTGTTGAATGAATAATGCCTCGGTGAACTGATTTGTTGAATGAATGAACAGGCAACTTATACAATTTCATATGAACGTTAGTTTCTCATTTTATGAACTAAAGATAGCGTTACGTTCATATCAATGATTGCACAGTGAAATGGCATCTGTACATTGCCTTTTTTGCTTATTCTCTATGGTGATATTCTACTGTAGGTACTACATACTCCTTGGAAGGTGAAACAGTTCATACCCACCTAATTTGGCAGAGGGTTCTGCCCAACACCAGTAGCATCTGAGCTCGTGTTTTTTACAATTACGATTTATGTACTTTTTCTATAACAATACCTGCTTTTCACAAATATTCCAAATGTATTATACAATACAGCTACAAAAATAGTTGTAAGAAATCTCTCTTTAGTGGGTTCAATCGCACTCCCCCCAAAGATATGTTTATACCAAACACCATGTGAATGTTTGGGAAAAGGGTCTTTGCAGATTCAATAAAGGATCTCAAAAAAAGACCATCCTAGGTTATCCTGGTGGGCCCTAAATCCACTGACAAGAGCTCTTATAAGAAGAAAAGACACAGACAGAAGAGAAAAAACACGAGGGTGGCGTGGGGAGAGAAGGCCATGTGAAGTCAGGGGCAGAGATTGGAGTTATGCTGCACACCAGCCAAGGAACACCCAGAGTCACCAGATGTTGGAAGAAGCAAAGAAGGATTCTCCCCTAGATACTTTGGAGGGAACGTGGCACTGCCAACAACTTGATTTCATACTTCAGGCCTCCAGAACTGTGAGAGAATAAACTTCTATTGTTTTAGGCCACCTACTTGTAATTTTATTACAGCAGCCCTGAGAAACTAATTCTCCCTCCTTAGGAAACTGAATTCTTAGAAGTCTTTCTTTCAGTCTATTGTTCATATATATACCAAAGCCTTACCCCTCAAACCAGAAACAAATGGAACAGCATACAACCTCTTTTATGAAATGAACCTTGGAAGATAAGGTTGAGATACCTTCTCAGATATTTAAGTAGATATCTAAAAATAAAAAGTGGGCCAAAATAAAGATGAAAGAAAGTTCAAAAAAGAATCAAATAAAATTTTGCCATGTGGCTATCTTACCTCATCCACCACTTTGGAAAAATAGTGGAGTGTAGAAATTACTTCTTCATCGCCTTTGCCAAGAGCAAAATTCTACCACCAAAGAAGAAAAGCAGCAGGTGTCAACTGAATGCTAGGGAATTCAGCACCATAGCGTTACCCCACAATACCCTGCCCTCCACCTCGACTTCCTCTCTTCTCCCAAGAGCACATCAGGTCAGAGCGTCTGACTGCGGAGAACTAGAGCTCTCCCCTTGTTCTGCCCCAGCCACACAGTCAACAACCCTTCCCAGGCTACTCCTTTGTCGGTCAGCACCCTTCTGTTGAGATATAACGGTATCTTTCAGTTTGTTTCCTGGAATTCTTAGTGTTGATTCACTTGTAGTCCCTCGGAAAATATGAACCCTCAGGGCAGTTGATTACTTCTGTAGGCTAATAAGAATACATCATAAAGACTTCGGGATAATCATCAGAATTTATCAGTGGATAGGAAAAGGCAAGACAAAAGAAAAAATGGAAATTGCCTATGGAAAAAAAGAAAGGAAGGAAGGAAGGTCTCTAAAGGTTGCCTCTAGAGAATTCCTTTATAAGAACTCCGCTTGAGTCCTAAGCACAGCATTATATGCCACATATATATCAAGTTACCTGTTTTTCATATGCCAGCAGTTGCTTAGAAAGCTGTTGAGTAGCCAGGCACATTTCATTCTGTAGGGAGAAGAGAAAAACAAGTAAGATTTGTCCAGTGCATACACAGTCACTGAAAAATGCCACCTCAGAGACCCACTTAAACATAATATGTATCTGTAAAATAATAAAATATTTTGTTCAGAAATTATTTGGAAAACAAGACCAAAACAAATTAAAAGGTTAAAGCTTACTTTTTCCTCCCCATCATTTATAAACTGACGTTCCTTCTGGTCATTCAGTCAGTAAACAAATGTAGTGAACAACTAACATGTGTCAAACCTCCAGCAAAGACGTGGTCCCTGCCCTCATGGGGTTTACTGGGGAAGCAGACACTAAAAAATAGTTACAAGCATGAGAACCACAAAGGAAATACTGCGTGCAGTAGGAGGCTCTGACTGGAGGATCTGCATGGTCCTCAAGAAGACCATAGAAGAGATGTTCTAAGCAGACCCCTGGAGAAAGACCAGGAGCTAGCCATGGGGATGAGCTTTCCAGAAGGAGGGACAAGCATGTAGTAAAAGCACCCTGCCTGTCTGAAGAGCTATAAAGCAGGGCATAGCTGGAACATGGGGTACAAGGCGTGGAAATGAGACAAGCCTGGCAACATAGGCAGAGCAAGGGCATGCGGGGCTCCACAGCCCAGTTGCAGACTTTAAGTGCAGTGGGAATTTAAGCAACATTATGACACAGTCAGATTCTACCAAACTTACAGCACTAGGTCAGTAATGATGGATGGTAACACAGAAGCACAGCTACAATGCCTGGGAAGGCCCTTTTTGTGCTGTTTTTCACTGGCCAATACTGTCCACTTTCTTCTTCTCATATTTATCCCTCTGATCTCTGGCTACACAGCAGCTGTCTACCACTATCCTCCCATCATCAACACATCCAGTCTTACGTTTCTAAAGCTCAGTTAAGGATTCTTTTTAAGTTCAGGGTGTATTCCTAAGAGAGGGAGGGAGCTACTGGGTCTGACCTGGAGCAGATAAGGGGAGGGCACTGGCCAGCCTTGGCCTCCACTTCCTTTCTAATTCCCCTGGGTTTGCTGTTCCTTAGGGGTAAGGCCTGAACTCTGCTGGAGCTTGTTTTATTTTTCATGGGCCTCCTTTGCAAGACCCATCAGAGCCTAATCCTATGTTTTTTGGGCCTTCTTTGCAGATAACTGGTCAACCTGTTCCCTGACTTCCTTCATCTGCCCCAAGAAACAGCCATCAGTAGACCCTGAAACGTGGTGCTCTCTCTTCTCTCCCAGAATAAAGTCAGGCAAACATAATGATAATTCCTGGCTTTGGCATCCTACTGGGGTGCCACCACTTTGAAAACTAACCAGAGCTGGCAGTCACAAAGCCAACAGGAGGGCAAACAAACAAATCCAGAAGTACTATGTCCTGGATCTAGACAAGAGCATGCAACCATTACTTAGCACAGAGCAGGCACTCCACAAATGTTTGATGAATGAAGGAACAAACAAGGTTAGAAGATTCATATAAATTTCAAGTTTTTAAACAATACCTGGAATCATAGTGTGAGGGGAGAAATACTTCCTAACCCTGTAAGGCAACATCACAAATGGTGGGAAATAAAATACAGAGTGGACCGGCATAAAGCAGTCAGCCAGGAAACAGCCAGTTGACCATCTTTAGCAGTGCTGTTTTGAAGATCAGGGCGCATGGGAACAAGGGTCTTAGCCCATTCACTGAGCTGTTACCCTGCTGTATCAGAAAATCCCCATCTCCTCTTCTCTGAGTTAGCAGCAGTGCACTTAAGATGGATTCGTTCAAGTTACCTTGCCATCTGCCTCCCCAGGCAGCCCCATGTAGACTATGATTTGCAGACCCACAGAATCATCCTAACAATAGCAGCTAACATTTACACAGCACTTAATTCATGCCAGATACCAAATAACTATGTCATTTAATTCTGACAACCCTGTCAGGCATGTTCTAATTAGTAACTCAATTTTACAGAAGAAATGGAGGCACAGAGATGTTAGGCCACCTGCCCAAGGTCACACAGCTAGTTAGTAGCAGGGCTGGGATGTGAATTCATGTCTGTCTAAAATCCATACTCTTAAACACTACTCTCTAAGATCCCAAGTCCTGCCAAGAGAAAAGACCTGAGAAGGCCATTGCCTTAGGCTAGAGTTGACAAACTTCTCCTGTAAAAGGCTAGATAGCAATTATTTTTGGCTTATGGGCTATACAGTCTCTGTCACAACACAAGAGCAGCCATAAATAATTCATGAACAAATGAGTATGGTTTCGTTCCAATAAAACTTTATTTACAAAAGTAAGAGTCCCTTACAGTCCAAGGGCTGTAAAGTACTGATCCTGCTTTAGACAGTAACTGTCTCAAAAGAGCTGTCCTCTGCCACAGCTCCCTCAGGAGGCTCTCCATGAAGCTACAATCCTTCAAATTCAAGAAGGATTGAATTCTACTCTTCTAGTTTCTACTCTTCTAGTCCATTCTTTTCTTTATTTTACCTAAGTCTAAAATATTACTCCCCCATATCTGTATTCTTTAGAGACCGGTCAACAGATATGATAACCACCCTCCGTGCTCATAACAAGCAAGTGCCACAGGCTACTTGAATTCTTCTCTCCTTTAGAAGGTACTGGCAAGCACCCCACGTGTAGTGGACACACCTGCCAGGGAGCTGCTGGCATCCGACTGTGCCCAGGTCAATGGGGGGCACTCGTGTGCCATGTGCACAACTCCACTGAGGCCGAGGAAGAAGGGGCGCCGCACACAACAGACAACTGCTTCCAAAATTCCTGTGTACAGTGGACTCTGCTGGGTCTCCCCTAGAAATACTTTCTGAAAGTGCTATGTATTTCAGATGTGTGTGATTTCAGGCAGCAAGATTCTGTTCTACCAGCATGATTCCACTGGGTACAAACAATACATGTACAAAATGGCCTGTCATCTGCCCTGAAAAGAAATGAACCTCTCCTATACAGAGCACATGACATGAAAAGTCTTTTAAACTAGACCAACTTTAATCTTACTCACACTTAATCTACTGTACACAAAGGTTTTATGAAACGCTCTACCTAATACATACACACCCTGTGAGGTAAGCCTGCTTAATTATCTCTTCAATAAGACTTGCAAAACTGGAACTTGCGTGAAGAGTAAATATTAGCAGTAACAATAATAAAGATAGCTGCTAACATTTACTGAGTCGTTTTTAGGACCTGACATTGCTGTTAAGCACTTTTTATATATTATTACATTTAATTCTTACAAGGCACTTATGAGGTAGGGTATATTCTTACCCTCATTTTACAAATGAGGAGAAAAAGGTTCAGAAAGGATAATACCTTTCTATAATTACACAACTAGTAACTGGCAAGGCAACGATTCAACTCAGATCTGTCAGACTCAAAATCTAAAGTCCAAGTGCTTAACACCATACTATTCTGATCCGAAGTCCAAAATTGTATTTAATAGTACTGTACCCAGTAAGCAGGCCTCACAGGCACTACAGATAACAGCATAAATCCCATACTTTTCTAGCTGTAGTCCAGCAAAAGTGGTGGCGTAAAATGTAGATTCTAAATGGAGTTCTGCGAGTAAGAGTCCGACACCCTGGAAAAGCTCTCTGGTTACCATCTATGCTATTGGGTACCTCATAGGAAGCCTTAAGAGATGACCTGACGAAGGGTTTACTGACAGAATATCCTATGTTCATCAGAACTTCCCAAGGCTGGCGCCAAGGCAGAAAGACCAGTGGTTAACAAACCCGGAAGGAAAACTGAGCTCTGGCCAAAGGAATGTTTACCTTATGGTGGCACAGAGCGCTCGCTAACTGCAACTGTCACCTGAAACTACCCAAAGGCCTCTGGGCAGGAATGGAGAGGCCAGGAGCAGGGGCAGAGGAAATCCACTAGAGTCAAAGTCACAGTGTAGGCACTGCTTTGATCTAGGCTAAACAACTGGCCAGAAATGTTACCTAAAGCCAAGTGGCTGAGAGTCTGATTCATCACAGCACTACCCCAAAGCTGGGGTCAGGGGGTCGCACTGGGTCAGGAGCCCCCTGGGGGGGGGGCTGCGCACAGAGGGAGTGGCGAGGAATGTAGCAAGGACAGAGGCTGGAGAGCTGTGTTTGGGGCAGGCCATGTGGGGGTGCTTGCTGAGGACTCTGACATTCTGCCAGCACCAGGGAAGCCCCAAGGAACTTTGGCAGGAGAATGACAAGGTCAGATGTGAGCAGAAGAAAAATCATGAATGGCTGTGGTGGAAAAAGAGGATGACATGAGGGTCAGGAGACCACCTGAAGTCGAGTGAGAGAGAAAGAAGGCTGAGCCCGAGCCAGAAAGTAGCAGAGATATGCCTGGTATCGCTGAGGCAAAAACAACAGGCTAGAGTGAATGAGGAAGGAGGGGGAGTCCAAGACGAATGGACCCTAGACTGGATGACCCATGATGGCAGTGCACCGAGCTAAGGTGCTGACAAGGGGACACAGATCTGGGAGGGACAATAAATCGCACAGAGGGGGTGTGCCGACGGTCTGGTCAAGGTGGCCCAGATGCAGTCTTTCATTTAACACCTATTTATCAAACACTGAGCGGGGCCACGGAAGGTGCTGGCCATTGGAGACAAAGACAATCTGCTCTCAGAGCTCACAGTGCACAGGGAGGAAAGAAAATCCCCCACTGTCCCTCAGTGCTCTGACCAACAAGAGTGCAGGGCATCTGGGCACACGGGTGAAGGGTGCTTTCGTCCGAAGGGAGAAAAGGAAGAAAGAAAAGGTGTCAGACACCTCAGACCTGAGATCAGTCTTAAAAGCCATTTGCTGGGAAGGCCATTTGCCAGGGCAAGGGGTCCATGTGGAGTCCTGGAAGCAGGAAGGGCATAGCAAAGTCTCGAGATGTGCAGAGGGCCTGGCACATTCTGGAACAGCCAAAGACGAAGCTAGAGTAGGCTGAAACTCAGCTCATGAAGAGCTTTGCGTGCCTTGATGAGGAGTTTTTACCTCTGCCTGTGGTTACAGGGAGCCACAGAAGCAGGTGAAG